GGGTACTGCGTGAAGGCGACGGCGCGCTTGACACCGTCCTTCTTCATCTGCTCCAGCGCCTCGTGCGTCAGCGGGCTCGCATATCGGAACGCAATATACGCTGCACGACACGACACACACGTCACACGACACGACACACACGACACGACACGACACACGCGTCAGCTGACATCGCACGCAACGCACGACACACATACATGTGGGGGGGGGGTGGACAAAGAGGCGGCGGGTCGTACCTTTGTGGGGCGCGGTGGCGGGGGAGGACTGGTCGAGGAGCTTCTCCATCTGGCGGGCCTGCGCTTCGGTCCACTTGCGAATGGGCGACCCGCCCCCGATCTCCGCGTACTGCTTCTCTATCCGCGGCGACCTGCTCCCCCCCCATCAGACGATGCCGTCGTGTGCGTGTCGTGTGTGCGTGTCGTGTCGTGTGCGTGTCGTGTCGTGTGCGACGTGCCTTCGTTTGGCGATCCAGGGACCTACGACGTTCTCCTGAAACTTTTGAGGGAAGGGCATCTGCACGATTTCCCTACAAAACACACAACACACAACACACACGCATCGCCGCACACACCGCACACGCACGCGCGGCAGACACGCGTCGTCAGCTGCCACAGCGAGAGGAAGGAGGAAGTAGTAGAATAGAAGAATAGAAGAAGTAGAAGAAGTAGAAGAAGTAGAAGAAGGAGAAGAAGATGGCGTACTGGTCAGAAAAGAGGCGCTGGAGGAAGGGTCGGACGTCGCTGAGGGTCTCCGGGCCGCCCAGGTTCATCATCACCACCGCCGTCGGCCTGGCACACAACGCAGAACAAACAAATAAAAAGAAATGAATAAACAATTATTACAAATTGAAAAAGCTTGGATTGTGAGAGGGGCTGTACGGTTTCGATGTGTCCGTGCTGGCACGTCGCAACAGAAATGACCCTGTGCGATGAAATCCGATTTAATGCAAAGTTCATAAATGCGGCATAAAAGCGAGATGCAGTGATTCAGTGGTCGGGTGTCGTACCGCTCTCATGGCGAGGGAGAGATCGCAAGCCCCGGAGTCCAGACGCAGTGGCGCACCTTCGCATCTCAATTGGTGATTTGGTGAGGATGTTTGGAACGTAGGCAGGGTGGTGAAGAGTGCACGTAGAGCTGCGGGCACGTGGTGGTGAAATACAACAGTTACGACAGCGTCGTGGCCTTGGCGTAGGTTGGCGAACAGGAGCAGCACCGATCGAGTGTTTGCTTGTTGTGTTGGCATAAACTCGACGCTTGGCTTACGCGACCAGAAATCCAAACTATGCACCTTTCCGCTGCCTGGCAACGATCACAGGCCTAAAGATATATACATCAGGCAGGGCAATACCATTGCCACCACAACCTGTAGTTGCCTAACATACACAAGGCCAATAGAAACGACTATCCAAACGAGAGAAGATCAGGGGTCTGGAACGAAAAGAACAGAGTATGAGTTATGTGGAGGGGAGTAGACAATCCTCGGTAGCTT